CCAAAACCCCAAAACCCCAAAACCCCAAAACCCCAAAACCCCAAAACCCCGCGAAAGAAATTTGTTTAAGTTTTGGAATGAGGTATTTTTGAATTCAAAATTTCAATTTTATAATACTTAGTATATATATCTAATTAGCAATATGGTTGAACAAGTAATATATCTCTAAAATTCATTCGATATCTTTATAGAGGGCATTGTCATTGTCTGAGTTGGAGAACTTAACTGAGGCTGAACTTGAAACCCTCATTATTGACTAAAAGTCAGATGATGCAAGATACATCTTAGGTCGTTTATTGATGGAAGGTAGCAGTGAGAAGATCAAGAAAAACGAAAAGAAAGGAGTCAACTGGATTAAGGAAGCCATTAAGAATGGTCATATGCTTGCTCTTGAGTATAAGACTTACTACGAAATTAGATTTGATAATCAACCTAAGCTCAATAAAATTTTGAAGAATTTAGAGACTATAGTTGATAAAACAAAGAGCACTAGAGCTTGTAACACTTTGGCTGAGTTCCATCAAGTTCAAGACAAGAAGGAAGATCAAAAGGAAAATGCTGCTAAATACTACAACATTAGTGCTGATTAAGGTTGCTAATTAGGTATTCATTGGATGGGTGTGTTCTATCACTTGGCATTCGGAGTCCCTAAAAATGTTGAGAGAGCAATTGAATATTTATCTAAATCTGCAAGAGCAGGAAACGGTCAATCATGCCATCAATTATTTTTGATCTACTCAGATGAGAAAGAAGGTTTCATGAATGTTAAGAAGGCTTACTATTACCTTGAGAAGGGTATCCTAAATGGTGTCTCATTGTTTGATTCATTACACGCCTTCTTCAAGCTACATTAAGACGAGCTCACAGCAGACTTTTTATAAAACAAGAAGCCAGCTGCCTAGGTTAATAAAGATGATAAAAATGAGGTTTTAAATCTTCATGAAGCTTATGTAAATGAAATGAAGAATTCTTTCAGTAATGCTCTTAGCAGAGATAGATTATACATGAGACCAGTCGGCTTTTTAATGGAATAACAAATCTGGATGGTAGGAGTACTTTCTAAGTATTTTGTAAGTCAAGTTTTGAGATTCAATCATCAAGATTTCATGAGAGCTCTTAAACAAGATCTTCCCCCAATCCTTGGAGAAATGGGTCTTTGGATATTAACTAACTACGCAAACAGACAAAGAGAGAAGAACAAGACTGAGAAAAGAAAGATGGTTTAAGTTGCAATAGAAATAGTTAAGAAATATCTTGAGAACGGTTTTGACTATCTAGGTTAGGAAGGAAAATACAATTTGATGAATAAATACGGACCAAAGAAATGCCCTGCTCAATAAATCAAAAGAGAAGACTTATAATTCATATATTCATGGCTTCACTATGCTCCTCAATCATGGTATAAGCACCAGATCAAACTTGAGGAAGAGTTAAAGGCTGACGAGGAAAAGAGAAAGAACCCTGATGCCTTTAAGAAATGTACATTCTGCCAAGCCCCAGAGAGCAATCTAAGAAAGCACAAAATGTGCTCTGCTTGCAAGCAGGCTTTCTATTGTAGTGCAGACTGTCAAAAATACGACTGGCAAAAGACTCACAAGGTATAGTGCAAGGAACTACAAAAGAATATGCCCAAGACAAAATGATAGTTTTTCGTTTGAGTGTTTGTTTTTGTGTGTGATGATGAAGAAACTTTCATGCAAATTAAGAATATTCTTTACAATTCTCATATTACAATGAACGGGGTTTTGGGGTTTTGGGGACAGAGGTTTTGGCAGA